ATCCTGTCCATTGAACCTGATCTTCTTGGTTGACACAGCGTGAGCCAAACCCAAATGGGGCTCAGCACAATTATCAGTTGCTTTTTCAAAGCATATTTTCCGGTTCCTTTCACAAGACTGTGGGGTTTTTTTACACACTGTCTAATGTCACAGAAGATAAGGAATTTTAGAAAATGTTTGCCAATGCATATACTTCGTAGGGACTCCATTCCCTAACCAAGAATCGAAGACTGCGCGAATGTTTAACAACACAAGGATTGTTGTTTTTGATGCTTGTTAACCACGATGGTGCTCTAGCAACTGTCGGAGGATGAAGAGTTGATCGATGCGGCACGAACAGCAGCCTACTCTTCACGTATATTGTACAATCGGCGGAGGATGACGTACACCAACAGCTTTGACACTATTGGGTTTATAACCCTATGATTGGCGCAGTTATGGCACGAACCCCTTTTAAAGATGTCGACTGCAATCGACCTGCCCACGAGGTGGGTACCTGCTCAGTGTGGCAAACTTTAGGAAACATGGTTGCCAATTCCACAACAAGCCTGATTCCGCCATCTCGAAGTACAGCTGGGGATGGCCCTTGTAGCCCGTCGCTTCGTGACGTCCCAAGGCATGGAACTCCGCATCAGAAGGTGGGCCTGTGGAGACAGACCACGGGACGTGTGCCGGAATAGCTGTGTGAAAAGTTGAGGCTGTTGGCCGACTGAGATGTACTTTAAAGTTCTCCGCCCAATGTGTAAGACGTCACTATTCATTACGAATCGTCAGCATCATAGATCGTTTCACTCACACCCAAATCTATCCTGCCGGTAAAAGGAAAATCTGGAATTTAACTTTTTGGAACCTAATTGGAATGTTACAGTATACTTTTTCCATTTAAATGCGATGGAAATGTTTGTGATAACCAACAAAGAGCATTGGACAGCTGTTTCGTCCTATTTGGGACTCGTCAACAATGCGTACATTTTGTGTCCCTGTCAATACTCGAACCGCGATCAGTCAGGTCGGGACTTCAAACCCTTACCCTTGAGCTAAGGAATGAAACCCACAACCAACATCATCAACGGCGCCTGGTGCTTGTGAAAAACCGAATGATTGTGGCGGGATTCTGTTTCCACTTGGAGAGCTCTTCATTCTGTCAGAATCACGGCTCGTCCAAATTGACTAACATTGGGAAAGCCATTGTCAGAACAGAGACCACCCTTACAATTTCTGAAACGAAAAATCCACTTGTGGTAGGTGCTTCATTACCTCGAACGAAAATAACCGATATTGTTTGATGTCACTGACAACTACCCGGGCCTTTCTGGAGCATTTGGCAATCACAGAACTCCATGTCGACCGTTCAACATTAGGCCTTTTTTATCGTTTCCTGTTGTTAATATACCGAGGCAATAATCTTAATTATTTGTTACCCGAACTTGAAACTGAGGTGCTTCTGTTGAAACTAAATCGGTACACCACATCATAGTTTGCTGCTCTAATGTTTTCTCATAGTCTGCTCTATCATTGGCGAATAAAGCATTGGAAGCTTTGAAATTGACTCGAATCCTCCATTACCCACGTGGAATAAACAAGCATGCTCCGACAAATTGTTCAGACATTTTTAGGATGCATCCAATCCACTCTAGGCGATCCAGAGATATAGAATTATTGAACGAAACACTATTCCCCTTGGCACGATGATATCATCAGCACTACTACAGACTACTACTATTGTTGAAAACAAATGGTTGTTCGTTATAAGTTGCTTGAAGAGGCAACCTGTCCCAACTGCAGAGCAGTAGAGGTTCTCGCTGTACAATATACATGTTCTTGGCCGTGCAAAGTATATATATATATATCGTGTTGGTGTCGTAGATGTTGCAGACTAGCCAGCACCAATCTTGCCATGATTATACGTTTGAAGATCTCCTCAACCACCCAGTGAGTGGGGTTCGCACTGTGTAACGTAGTACTCGAGGCTGTAGTAATTCGCATTTACTCCCTTCCCAAATACCATGATGTTTCCAGGACTGAAACATGCAATCCAATTCACCGTGTTTCTGATCCATTTCACTGGATGAATAGAATAAAGGTTACAATTTGTTTACCCTCCATATTTATCGTACCAGCATCTCTGTTCAGCTTCTTTAGTTCCTGACAGAACCACTTGAAACTTTCGGGTCAACGGTCTCATGCGTCTAACTGCTCATTTAGCACAAACACTATTGTGGAAGATATATCGAGCTGATTTTATATTACTTTATTATTTTGATGGCATTTTGTTTTTTATAGTTCCCTCCACACTAATGTGCTAAACGCCGTGGAAGCATGGATTGGTGATCCAACTACTGATAATTTTACAAGTAGTACGTTCATATTTCCTCACAATTTACTGCAATGCCGTCCAATTCAATGAACTTCTTCCCTTCCCTTGTTACCTAGCATCTGCCTTCGATCCGTTTTCAACCAACACAGTGAGTGCGGATAATCCCTCACAGAATGCAGCAGCTGCAATCACTGGCACGGATTTCGATTCGGTTAGTAGGGTTTATTTTAAACGTTTTTGCCCGAGTAAACTGTGAGCGTTGATGATCTCTCTTTGGCACATTGTTGGTCCTCCCGGAAGGAAACCTCTAGTTTTATTCAAATTCATGCTCACTCAACCACTGTTCTCTTTTCAGTGTGTCCAATATTTTCATCTTGTTGTTTCCGCTCAATCTGGTTTGCCTTCATTGATTGAGTAGGTTACCGACGGACAGCAACCACGAGCTGATCACGGGACTACAATGTAACTATATTTTTTCCCATCAAGCTTTAGCCAAAACTTGTAATCCTTCAGCCAAAACCTGTAGTCCTTTAGCCTCAACGCACAAAATGTTAGCCACGCCACACTAGACGAGTCAGATCAAAAATATCGGAATATTGTGAAGTCAACAAATGTTGAAAAAATTATTTTCTATAAATTTTGATGCTGCAAAGCTTGGTTAAAAAATAAGGTTTGGGGGTTGCACGCTGCAGCACATGTTGATTGGAGAAGGTTTAACCGATCTGTCCATTTGACACATCTCGTACATCTTCAATGTTTCTGTATAACATGCGATACTCCTAGGGGTAAAAATCTAAAGTGTAGCTCAAACGATACATTGTTTTGCATTCACAAGTGAACTCTGATCATCAGAGTGGGATACATAAACGTGCTGAGGATAATAAACCAGTTGTAAAATCACATCCTCATAACTCCCATCAGTTTATTAACGGTGCAACGTATGTCATAATCACCACGATCGAGGCCTAATTATTACGGGTTTTGTCCATAGTTTCTTGAGAAACGGTGTTCTAAATGGGTGTGTAAGCAGTGTTTATTATCCTCGATCTTTGAATGTATCCATATGTCAAAAAAGAGTTTACTTTAAGTGGATATACGAAACGGTAAGCACATAGCTTTTGATTTATTTCAGGGCTTCTGAATGCAAAACAATATAGTGTTTGAGTTACATTCGAGTTTTTTACTCCTAGGAGACTAAAGCATTACGGGTTTTTGGCTAAAGGATTACGGGTCGAGGTTAAATAAAGGATTGCGGGTTTTGGCTAAATCTCGATGGGAAAAGGTGTGGTTGTACAAATTAAAGATAGTGTAGATATACCTATAGCGAGGAATGACCGTACTGTGTGCCACAATGAAACTTTCTTTGCATTTCGGTTCATCTAATTCATTCTCAGTGAAAAACCCGGGTTTCGTTCTGTCCACGAATCCTTGTACTGTGTTCCGTTTCCTGTAGGTGTTTGGTTCCGTTACTGCAAAAAACACTAGCTCGACAAATGCACCCGATCCGTTCGGCACGGATCCGTTTGGCAGTTTGGAACTGGCCGCAGTCACCGGACAACAACATTCAAATACGAACGTTGGTTCTTTCATCGGATCGATTAGTGCAAAGAAATCCCCACCGCCTCGACCAAAAACACAACCGGGAGCTGGACGAGTTGGTCGTGAACGGAAAGTGAGCTAGACACATGCATGCATGCATGCACCACATTTCCATCTGTCCTAATGTTTTGTCCGAAATCGTATCGGTCAAGGCAGTCTTACGTGAACTTCAGTACTGGCAAATTGTGTACCCTGTTGAATACAAAACGGGGAAATATATACCTGCAGATGTCACCTGTTATACTGTTTGCTGTGTGGCACTACGAAATCATGTCGAATAGAATAGAATAGAATAGAATAGAATAGAATAGAACACTAGCCAGGAGACTTGATCACCTAGGTCGCAGTTGGTCACCCTTCCATTGCACCTCGCAAAATGCCCCCATACGACCAAGCGTCTCGAATAGCCTCTACTGAGGAAGCCCTACTCACTGTCTTCTCGTGGTGGAGGTGTTATTACACTAATGTGAGAGGACGACATCCCGGGCTATAACCGGGTTGGTGAACCACTGGCAGTTCACCCAGGGGAGTTGTCCAAAAACCCTGATTCCGAACCAACCAATAGGAGGCGTAGAAACCACACATAACTTTCCGGTTGTGGCAGTGGTGATCGGCTCAGTTGCTCATCAAGATTTATTGGGTACCTTGGACGTTTGATCCCGTCCAAAGGGTGTATAAGCCAATGAACTGGACATCGGTCCCCAATGGATTTTGGTTTTCACACACCATCCTGTTGCCTTGCGCATCAGGTTTTGCCTAGCCGAAGCCTCCGGTTGTGGATTCCTCAAGAAAATTTACCTGCCTTGGCCTGGGAAACCTGGTAGTATTCAGCCCGCAATCCAATCATGGAACGTTTTTCTTTTTTCATAAAGTTTATTGTACCATGATTTGTTTGGCACACAATCTGGATTCAGACGTGTGTGAATATATATATATATATATAATGTTGACGGAAACCGAAAGAGGAAAAAAGTATGCACTATGGAATAACCTCGGTAAGGTCTCTTTATTGGGCCATTACACAAAAACTCTCATCGAAGACCTGTCGTTCTTATCATTGGTCCGTGAACGGATAACGCAGACTTCTATATCCCCTTGATGTCACTGTCAAAATCAATTATTCCCATATGCCTTCATCATTTGTATGCGTTTAGCGTCAGTGAATGGTATTTCGCGGGTGGGATATTTCCAAATTTATCTTTCGGATTCTCACATGCATGCTCCGTACTTTTCTGACCTCCTTTTCCATTTGCAGTCCCTTGGGGGATCGCCGGAACTGATCAAATCACTCAAATCCCAAAACTCCCTGGGCAGTTTCCCCAGTATTAGCAATTCCAAATCTCCCGCCGGACTCAATTCCCTCGGACAGTCCAAGCACAAATCATCCAGTTTCGCCAATCGAGTGCGTGGCGTGTCCGGATCTGGTCTGAGCTCTGGACGTTCTCGAAAAGACTCTACTGATCCGTTCACTCATCAAAACCGGTCCAACAGTTTCGCTTCGGCCGGCAATGTCAGATACGGGGATAAATCTGGCGACGGTACCGATTGGGCTGCCCCGGTGGGAATGTCCGAGGAAGAACAATTGTCTATAGCAACAATGGAGAGCCGTCGTTTGGCGCAAGCCGAGGAACAGGCCAGAAAACAAGAACAAGCGGATTTAGAACTGGCCATTCAACTCAGCCAGATGGACACCAAATCTTCATAGATTGACCATTGCGACTCGTGCTATCCGTATCCCCGTTGATTGTGTGCATAGTTGTGTGTGTTTCGCGCGAACATTTCGCCCCGTGATTTGAAACATGCTCGCACTTCCGTCTATTTGGTCGATGACACTGCACACAACTACATCTTTCCAACTGAATGATTCCGAGCTTGAACTCCGTCTATTGACCAACTTTGTGATTCGTCCTCTTTCATTCACACACTGGCTGTCTGTCTGTCCTTTCGTTCGCCCACTTTTTAACCAATCGCTGTCTGACTGTTTGTTTTGTTCGTTTGTTTCTTTCGTTTACACCACTATCATAGATGATATATACGCATATAAATAGTTACGCGCCTTTTTAATTGTGGTAAATTCTACTCTCTCTCGCTATTGCTCTTTATCTTGACCACACACACACACACACACTCTGTCGCTGTCCCTCTCGAATTATGAGAATCCGATAATATGGAACTGTTTCAACTTGGATTCTCCCGTTTGTTGCACGTTTGTTCCCTGTCTGAAT